GATTAACATAACATATTTGATTTAAAAAAAAGTTATTTATTGATTTAAATTTATAGTGAAGGAGATTTGAAGGAGCTTTGTTAATACATTTTCGAGAGTTTATTCTTAAAATTGACCAATTTCCGCGGGTAATCAAAAAAGTATTACGTAGCCTATATATTCTTTCAGACTATGTCCTAAATCTGTGTTTTTAATCAAGAAAGTAGAGAAGTAAAGAATAGTAGAGAAGGTTAGGAGTAAAAGGTTAGCATGGTATGGGCATGTTATGAGGAGGGATGAATCGCATGTTACGAGGAGAACGTTAGTTATTAGTGTGGAAGGGTACATCGGTAGAGGTAGACCTAGAAAGAGATGGATGGATCGTGTGAAACGTGACATGATCAAAAAGGGAGTGATGACTGAGATGACGTATGATAGAGTTATGTGGAGGACAAAAACCTGTTGCGCCGACCCTACGGGAGTAGGATAAGGAGATGATGATGATGATGATGATGATGATGATGATGATGAAATGTTAAGTTATTTTAGAGATAGGTAGTGACAAATATACATCAATACATCCATACTTTCGCATTTATAATATAAGTACGATACGAACATATTAACGGTAGTTTTTGCGTCGAAATTTCACATTATTCTTATGATAAAAAAGTCTTCGGGTTTTACGATCTTTCCGCCAAAATACTCGGAGCTAACAACTTCAGATTTATTGGCATTTTCCTTAATAAACTTTGCTTTAATTTTCCTCCTTTGTAATTGATTTATGTCAGTTTATACGAGCAACTTTTTTAAAGCTGATTTGTTGTTACTTTTAAAGTTCAACAAGCTTTAAAGTTTCTTAACTTAATTATGTATTATGGCTTCAGTTGACCTTTCGAAAAAAGTTTAATTTTTATATGTTAATACTACAAGTAAATTCATTAATGTTAGTCTTAAGTTTCAATAGAGTAAAATTTAAGTTAAGTAGTTCACAAACTCATTTCATTAAGTTATTGAACCAAAAACTAACGAATGGTTAAATGTAGCTCAGAAACCGGTCTCTGGTTTGGAAAACATGGTCTCGCTTAACACTTACAGCGGGAAGTAAAATCATAATTGTTTATCTGACGCAGCGTCGGGCCTAAATGAGCCCCCAATGATATTTCCGCCGTGTGGCAGGTCTTTCTAGACCCACCAGCATTACGATAAATTAAATTACTATAACTTTGAAACATAATGTGTACACCTCGGATAATTGTTTCGAACTATCGAGAGGGACATAGTTTTCTGCGTCCGCATCAGCTTAAGTAACAGGCCGATATCGGCATGACGTAGTAGGCCGATATCGGCCTGTTACTCAGTAAGCGTGTTAACTAATACGGGTTACTTTAGTGACTATTTGTATAAAAAAACGTAATATTTCACTTAAACGTAATACAACGCTTATATATAACTTATTTACTAAATGTTACCCATTGCGTGACAGAGCAGTATAAAGCTAACGGAAGTGACTACCACGTGGTATATCAAAAACAAATTGTACCGAAACACTATAGTCTGAGATAGTTGTAAGTCACGCGAGCTATATGTGCTTTTGACGTAAGGACTTAAAAAAAAATACAGTATGTTTGTTTTTTCGAATATCGACAATTTTATTTAAAAAAAATCAGAAAATAAACTTCTCTGGAGCTCCAGAATTGATTGTAGGAAGCGATAGTTGGAGCATTTTTTAGACGACCTCACCTATCCCCTATTTTCGTTTGATCCATGACTTACCATCCTGTATAGTAAAAAGTTGGTAATGATTTTACGACCTTTATAACAGTAGAGTAAAGGATGCTTTTACAGTGTTTAAAAGGGAATAAATTAAAAATGTAGAGGAATACGGAATAAGGAATCGTACTTGCATTGTCATGTAAAAATGACACCTATATATTAAACAGTAGCTTTCAAAATCGCGTTTAAAATTTAATTCGTAATCCCAGGTTAGCTATATTTAACAAGGAAGTACGTGAAGAATTGTAGCCTAATATTTGGATGTTTTTGTATTCACAACACCCTCCCCCACCCCTGCGCTAGCGACCCCCCAGCGCCCCCTGCCGTCAACGTCCGACACTTATTGCTCTCACTTACGTCACTTTATGAATAATGAACATCCTTAACATCGGCCTAAGCTCGTTAAGAAACAAATTAAGAACTAAAATAGACAGTTAAAGTTATGACCTTTTTGACCTTTAAATAGTTTTGTATTTCAGGACACTTAAAGAAACCTTATTGACATTGTACTGACAACTCTGGGAAGTTTTCCATAGAAATATTATCCAGTAATCAATAATATCGATCCCATAAAGGTTTTAGATTAAGGGCCTGTCTGTAAATTGTCTGATGACAATGCAACGTGTAAAATATGTGATAGAAATATCGGATTTTGTTTCCCTTCTCTGTCAGAACAGTGACGTCATTTTTAAGCAATCTGAGACTCTATCAACCAATAGTGGGAAAGGTCCTTAGTATTCTAATGTTAGAGAATTGGTAGCTATTCCAGACTTAACACACTTTCATCCACGGTACATACAAGTTCAGAACTCGCTGATTCCTAAGAATTATAACGTTTAAAATATTAGAAATACACCGAAGTGAATGATGTTTTAACAAGCGTACGGTATGTCGTAATGGTTAAATGAAATTTGCTCGCGTGTGCCCGCTGGCGTGGCTAAGGAATGCCTAACTGCTGTTTTATTGTGGATTTAATTCACCACGTGCTACACGCTGAGTTTAACTCTCGTTCTTGCGGAAGTTGTATTTTATAGCAGAACAGCGATTTACCCCAGCTTCAAAAAGAATTCATTTTCTTTCCTTTATCTTTTCTGTCATATAAAAAGCTTTTTTTCGAATCGGTTCTGTAATTTCAAGTATAATATAAAGGACGAATGAAGTATTTATTTATAATCTATATTATTATAATAAAGCGTAAACACACACTTCTTTGGTGCCTAAGATGTCAGCATATTTTTGAATAATCATTTTTTTTAATAAAAAGCCCTACACTTAGATACGCTTTTATATATATATTTTCTCGCTATTACACTTAGAGGTAGATATTTTGGATAAAAACCCTAATGTGGGAAGGAGACCATAAGTTGCTGCCAACATCAAGGAAGCAAGATTGCTAAGGTTTGTCATGTCATTATGACATTTGCTATTTATAATTTGACAAATGTAAACAATAAAATAAAATTTTCATAATTTCATGCGGATGAAGCCGCACGAGAACAGCTATTAGTTATTATAAAACTATAATAACGCGCGTACGCCTTTGACTAAACTATTGCACAACTGTTTCATTTTTGTGGAACTAAACAGTTGATTTTGCAGCGAAACAATCGACAATCTAAAGTATCGCACAACTGTTGTCGATAGTTTAATCAAAGGTGTGCCGCCCGCTCTTAAACTACAAGTATATCATCATCATCATCACCAGCTCACTATATATCCCCACCGAGGGGCTTGGAGCCTACCCTAAGTATGCGCTGACTAGGCCATAGTCAACCACGCTTGCCAAGTACGGGTGGGTTGACTTACACATATCTTTGAATTTCTTCGCCGACATGTGCAGGCATCACGATGTTTTCCTTCACCGCAAGAACGACGGGTAAATTATGTACATATAAAAATTCGAAAATTCGAAAATCACATTGGTACAGCGGGATTCGAACTCAAGACCTCTAGATTACAAGTCAAGTGCCACTGACGCTCCTATATATCCGCTTAAACTATGTATCCTAATTAATATACTACAAAATACAGCTAAGCATTTCCCACTAGAATTATAATTGCCGATTCCACGTTCAACTTGTATAAACAAACGCAAAGCAATAAATCTATCCTATAAATCTTTCCAACGCTAATCGAATAATAGTTTATTACCAGATTATCTCATTTCACGTGTCGTGTTTTAAAATGCTAATAAGTCATGTGAAATTCACCTGAATATATTTAGGAGGATTTATTATCTACTAGCTGTTCCCGTGCGGCTTCAACCGCATGTAATTATGAAAATTTTGTTTTATTGTTTACATGTGTCAATTTACTAATAGCAAATGTCAAAATGATATGACATGACAAATCTTAGCAATCTTTCTTTCTTGATGTTGGCAGCAACTTATGGTCTCTTTCCCACATTAGGATTTTGATCCAAAATATTTACCCCCAAAGTTTAATGGCGTGAAAATATATAGCCTAAAGCATGACCTAAGCGTAGAGCTTTTTATTAAAAAAAGGATTATTCAAAAATATGCTGTAATTACTGACATCTTCGGCAACAAAGAAGTGTGTGTTTACGCTTTATTATAATAGTATAGATGAAATACGATAAGTAAATGTTTAACATTTTTACAGCAAACCTAAATGGTCGAAATACACGAATATTGACAAGTTTAGTTTAGATTTTTATACGGTGATTAAATTTATAACTTGTAACAATTACTTCGACAACTTCGAGCGCGTGACTTGACTCAATAACAATTACATATTTTACTGTACACACAAACTTAATTTTTATGCCAAAAAATACAAAAAAAATACCGTTCATATAATGTTTACAAATAAACTCCAAGCATAAATCACATTGAATACCAAAACATTTAATCAAAACCATTGCCATCCTATTCATTTTTTTAGAAAACGATGGAGACAACGTTACGTGCTCTTATTGGTGGATAACAAAGAGTGTAATGACGTCACCGTACATAAATTAAAACCTAAAATATTTTGATATAAACAAAAGAATGCTGCAATTAACTGTAAAACAAGCCCCTTACAGACATTTCTGTCAGTTTTAATTGAAGAATCGAACAATTAAAACAGTCAGAAATGTTGTAGCGGAATTTACTAAACGACTTCAAATTAAAAATGTCGGAACTAAACATCTGTAAGGAGTTTGACGCTGATATGTGAGAAATTAACATTTCATTCTACATGACAACTATTAGTCAGTATGCAACAAGGAAACTTTGTCTTACCGTTGATCAGCTTTCCCTTTCTATCGAAGGTACAGCGCGTGTCAGCAATTCCATTCGTTCTTATCCATTAGCACCAAATCGGCAGTCGGGAATTAAGATAAAACTATTACTAATTAAAAATAAATTATTGCAAACCCTATAGACGTAGACCAAGGGATTGGAAACAGGGCTTTGGGCGGGTTTTACAGCAGGAATAAGCCCCTACAGTTGGACTTAAGGCGAACTTGAGATCGAAAAGTCTTTAAGAACCTTGACTTGAAGATATTAGCTAAAAAGCCTTGTGATTTTAATGGGCCTAGAGTGGACCTCGCAGTCTAAGGTTAGCCCTATATTAGGTCTTGAATAGTACTAGGTTGCTGGCCACGAAATCTAGGATTTGGAAATATTGAGACATGAGTAATTATGAATTGGTTTAATTTATTATTTATCTATTATGTTCCTGGTGTAATTTGGTCCCCTGAAACAAAGAAAAAATATCGTTAGTTAAAACTGATAGAATATAGGTGGAGACCACTTGAATTTGCTAAATGAAGCGACTGCCCATAGACATAAGCATTTGTAGATGTGCCTAGTCGATAGATAGAGGCGCAATAGATATAGAATATTTTCCCTTCCTCTGCGTCCCCTACTCTGCTCATTTGTCCCTAAGGAAAGGTTAGGACAATTTAAACATGATAGTTATCTGTTAAAGAAGAAGGATGAAATTTTCTTGTTAACATTTTTTTTTTATAATATAAGGTGGCAAACGAGCAAGCGGCCACCTGAATCCACCGAAATGGAAAGCGACCGCTGCCCATAGACATTTGCAATTGCAGATGCGTTGCCTACCCTTAATTGATGGAGGAGTCGCACATAAAGAGGACATTTACCCTTCCTATGCGTCTCCTCCACCGTCAAATCCACTTTTCCTTCCCATCCCTTCTCTTAAGAAAAGGGTGGAAAGGGAAAGGGACTAAAATTAGGCCTCCGGCACCACACTCATCAGACGAAACGCGGAATTGCTTCCACTTCACGCCTGTTTTCTGTGTGGTCGTGGTATTACACCGGGCGAGCCGGCCAATTCGTGCTAAGGTGTTAAAGCGGGCTCTACCACTCCGAAATTTCATGTTATTTTGCATGTAGATAAATTGTTTCAGTTGTTATAACTAGAACAAGAGTAAAAATAGTTCAATGATATATTGTTTAAGATAACGCGGAAGTGTTTTAAAATCAACATCTGATAATAACAAAAGAATGTTCGAACAAAGTATTTTAAAGCAAAGAATGTTTTTATATTGAAGAACATTTGTTGCTTGTTGCAGTTTTGTTATTATTTCTGGTACGTTTTATTTCTCACAAACAATCGCCTACGCTTTTTCATCTAAAACGTTTTAGAGAACTAAAGCTTTTTTTTATTTAATACAAGAAACATCTGATCTTTGTGGCAAATGCCGACATTGGAACACAAAATTATATTAAACTAAATTTAAAGTAACCAGAGAGTTATTAGTTACTAGCTATTGTTAGCGACTTCGCCCGCGTCAAATTAAGAAATATACAAGTAGCCTATGTTACTCACAGATAAATTACCTTACTAACGGTGAAAGAATTTTTAATTTCAGTCCAGTAGTTTTTGAGTTATTTCAATACATATAAAAATACAAATCTTTCCTCTTTATTATATTAGTATAGATGATTTTACATGTGTTTTATTTATTTTCTAGGAAAAATACAAATGAATTTTAATAATATCATAAAATGGTATATAAGTATAGGTATAGATAAAAGGAAAATTAAGCAAATCCGCATTTAAACGTTTAAAGGTTAGAAATCTTTACGAACAGAAATTCGAACAAAACGTTTTGCCGACGATCGTTCTTTAACGATAATCATCAACGAAATGACTGCATTAAAACTAAAGAAATTCAATCTTAAATGCTTTAATTTTGAAAAGAAAATCAGTTATATAGTTTTTAAATAAAAGAAGTATTGTAGATTTACTACAAACAATAATTAACAGTGGTCTACCACTGGCTCTAGCCAACTATATCTGTTGCACATCACTCGATTGGTAAAATACCACAAAAAAAAACAGAAAATAGCTTAAAGTTGAATCAACTCCGAGTTTGAATAATTATAAGAATGGTGATTTACATTATTTCCAACAAAAAAAGCTCATCAAAGCTCAGTAGAAAAGCTCCGGGAGGTTATCGAGGTCGTGAGAGGGCGCAGCTGTACCGTCCATTAAGGCCGCTCTCTGATGCCTGATATTAAATATTTCCGAACCGCAACATAATTATAACACAGAAACTCAACTTGAGTGACGCTTTTATAAATATCTAAGTTTTATACAAAAGCTCAAAGCTTCTCTATGAAAAGCTTTATTACAAAGTTCAGCTTTTCTATATTAAAGTCATAGATTCATTAATATTTATATAAATAATAAAATCCCTAGTGGAACTGATGATAGCGCCATCTATCTAGTTTGAAATCAAACACATCTAAGCAGCCAGTTTTTCACATCTGTGCCAGTGTTCGGTGACATGTCTCTTTGGGTAGTTTCCAGTAACTATCTGATGGAGGCCTCACTGATCCTATATAATACGGATGGTGTTAATCATCGGCTCTGTATATCCATCGACCCGCCGATGATGGCGGCCGATGGCGGGATTCGAAACTTGGTCCGTCATGTGGTCATTACCGATATGCCTCTAGTTTACTAGACCATAGTCAAACGTACTGTCTCACTGGGGTACATGGCAAGATTCGAAACCGGTCAATGAAAATATGGTGATAAAATGACTGATCATCTTTTGTCAATTGCGTAAATTCTGGCTCGTATCAGTTGAGAGCAGTAATAGTGAAGCAATTATGTCTGTCAATGACAGACGCTCCCCCTCTTCCCCTGTCAGTGCTCCCCCCTTGAGCTGTGACCCACTTGCGATTAAATTAGCACTTATTTGGCGCGAGCAATTGTGTCACAATCGATTCATTTATTATGTTACTAGCTTTCAGCCGCGACCCCGTCCGCGTGGAGATAAAAAACTAAAGTACTACTTACTTATGTGTTTTTCCAGACTAAGCTCTACATTTATGCCAAATTTCATCCAGATCTGTTCAGCCGTTTAGGGTACAAACTCTAACAATCCATCCTTCTAGACTTTCGCATTTACAATATTAGTAAGAAGTAAGATTGCGAGATTTATTCGGTTAGTAAGTTTGTATGTTCTTCAATCTCAATGAGAGTAAGTGTTCTTCGTTAATTTTAAATGGTTTAATTCTATGTTAAATGTGACAAAAGAATGTGTTTTAAATTATCAAACATAAATAATTACCCCTAAAGACACTCTGATTTGAACTATTCAGTTAACACTGTCAGTTACAACTGATCAATACAAAAATGATATATAGCTTCTATTATAAATAAATAATGTTCATAACAACTCAATTTACTTTTACAGATTACAAATTAGCAAAAAATACGCCATAAATTAGTGACAAATGCTAGTTTATTATAATATAGTGAAATCACAGTCACGTCTACAGGATCACCGACCTGAGAGCACAGTATCTGCAATTCTAACAAGAGGTCGACGTAACGTGAAAAAACTGTTTAGTCAGACTTACAAAAGGTCAAAGTATCGCTTATTTGTCGATAAAAAGTGTCAAGATTGGTTTGTTCGTCTACGTATGCGTTTTTTCTAATAAGTTGTAACGTTTTTTAAGTTTCAACAGTTTACTAAATCTGCGTTCAGAATATTCTTAAGGCACAATTTCATTTTTTTTTCGCGTGTGTTGTTTGAGAGACCATTTTTCATGTGTGTTATAACGCCTGCTGTACTTGTATTCATTAGAAACCAGTGCCCGCATGCGTTAATATTCCTTTACCGTTACCACGCATTACACTACTAAAGTCTATGATGCTTTCATATTGACAGAAAGTAAGGGCGAGTTATATTAAAAACGCATGAATCAATTAAACAATTAATGTATTTTTTCGTTCACTGTATTTTATTACAGAAATATATAACCTTTGGTATGTTTGGGGCTTGAATAAGTGCCCTAAGTGTGTAATTTACTGGCTATTTAAAAGTAAGGGCAAGTTATTTTAAAAACTTAATAACTACGTTAATTCTTTTTTACAAAAATATTGGTAAATTTAATTATGGCTTAAATTACTATACTAACTACATACACAAGACCAATATTCCATGTTGTCAGCTCGTAGTAACATTAAACTGCCTGAAATAGATTTAAACTTCTCTACCAACCAATGCCATTCGTAATCCCGAAACACGCGATCATACAACAGCCTATTTTAAACCTTATTCTGTAACACTTAAGGTTCATTTATAAACGATCGGTAACCAAGTCGTAAACTTGCTTTTGAAAACCCACCAGCTCGATAACCAGACTTCGATTAAAATAATTTATAGGCAAATGAAATATAAAGACAATGATGGGAATAACATTAAAAATATTACTAAAACGTTCTCAACGGCCAATGAAAATGACATGAAAATTAATCAACTACGAGTGCAATAAAATAAACTAGCTTAGGATTTCACTAATTGTATTTTTTATATAGAGTTTTTTATATTGCTAAAAACCTTACATTACTAAATAGGTAAAGAGTATTTACTTATTAAAGAGCAAATTAGGTAAATATATACTATTATAATAGCGTAAACACACACTTCTTTGTTGCCTAAGATGTCAGCAATTACAGTATATTTTCGAATAACTGTTTTTAATAATAAGCCCCACATTTACGTCACGCTATAGGCTATATATTTTCACGACGTTAAACTTAGGGGTAAATATTTTGGATAAAAACCCTAATGTGGGAAAGAGACCATAAGTTGTTGCCAACATCAAAGAAGCAAGGTTTGGTTTAACCTCATGTCATGTCATTTTGTATTTGCAATTGATAATTTGACAAATGTGAACAATAAAATAAAGTTTTTATTTCTTGCGGGTGAAGCCGAACGGGAACAGCTAGTATATAAAAAAATAATAAACATATAATCTCATACTTACTACGTATCTTACATAACAAATAAATTCGGAGTAAAACGTTTTAGAAGTATTTAAGTACACGTTTCCAAGAAAACTTTCTAAACGTTTGTAAGATTTCGTTTTCAGGAAATTTTTATTGAAAGTTGAGAAAGTTATGAAACATTTTACGAGATGCTATTCAAATCAACAGGGAAGTTTATTGCGACGATTTCTATATTTTCTGTTTATAATAAATGCTTAAATAGGATGAAGAAATTTAATATATAGTGTAAATGTACATTTTCATATAACGTCGCAGTTAAACAAGCGCTAACGGTCGTCCCGCTGGAGACTGGAGGTGCGAACTGCTAAATGATTCAGTCAGAACCTTGGCAACGAACAAGAAACTTAGTGTGGCCAGACACTAATTTTCTTCGCATATTTCATTTACGCTCGTTTATCGCTAAGCTATGACAACGT